CTGACCCGGCCAATGCATGTGGTCGTGGGGCTGCTGCGAATGTGTGCGCGGGGCCGCAGGGGGCGGCGGGGGGTCTGTGGCGCACGTTGACATGGCTTTGTGTGCGGGGATCAGCGAGGTCGTGGGCCAGCCCTCAGCATCTCCGCCTGACCTTGTGCGGTTGCATGTGCACGGTTGCATGTATGTATGAGAGCTGCTGGCTCGGTCAGGCCCTGGCAGCGAGTGTGTGGGGCCCGTAGTGTCTGAAAGTCTGCAGTCGCATCTGGGTGTGTCTGTGAGAGCTCATGTTAGTGCGTCTGGGGTTATTGAGGCCCTCCTGCTTCCCTGGCAGGGTGCAGATAGGTCCAGGCTTTGGGATGGACACCAGATGACCTCTCTTTCTCCTTCCAGGCCTGGATGGGGGAGCTCTGCAGCATGTGTGTGTGTGTGTGTGTGTGTGTGTGTGCAGGCTCCGCAGTGTCGCAGCGTGGGGCTGCAGTGTGTATGTGTGTACAGCCCCTCATGTAGAGGAGCAGGCATGGGAGGCTGGGAGGAGGAGAGGAACAGGAGAGCCAAGGTGGGGAGACTGAGTGCACAGATGAGGGTGTGCGTGTGCAACTGTGTAGTGGAGAGCGTGCATGCCTGGCTGTGTCCTTGCTTCTGTGTCCGTGTGTCCTTGTCTGTCTGTGAGTCTCTCCAGCAGATGCCGCCTCCCTCCCTGGCTGACCACCTGACCCTTGCTGCAGCCCTGGATTCCTCCCTGTGTGTCTGGGGCGGGGCTGAAGGGAGGGGGAATCAGGAGAGGAGGGGGTGGGTGGAGGTAGGTGGGATGAAGAGGGCGGGAGAGGCCAGTGGAGGGAGAATATGAGGACTAGGGAGAAAGATGGCGGATAAAAGGCTGATGGGCCCAGAGATGGAGGCGGGGGATGGGGGTGCAGCTCTGTGGGGTGGGGCAGGGTGGGCCAGGGGGGCTGGGAAGGAGGATTGGGTTGGGGCAGGACTAGGGGAGAGAAGGGAGAAAGGGGTAGTCAGTGATGGCTGTCAGATAAGTGGGATGGAGTGAGGGAAACTGTGGATGGATTGGGAGAAGACTGATGCTAAAAGCCCTAGAGAAGGAAGTGGTGGGAGGGTGGTCTTGGAAATGGAGTGGGGACGAGAGGAGAAATGAAGGCAGCTTAGACATGGGAAGGAAAGACAGAGATGCTCTGAAAGAGACAGAGAAAGAGACATGGACATAGAGAGAAAGAGACAGAGAAGCAGAAAGTCATGTCTGAGACACATGGAGAGACATTGAGAGAGAAAATGAGAAACTGAAGCTCAGAGAAAGAGACACAAGGACAGATATTTCCTATCTAGCGGCAACCACAGTCAGTCTGAGGGAAAGGAAGAAGAGGCAGAGGGCAAAGGGGGAGGTCAAGGGAGAGACAGCCAGAGATGTGGGCCAGGTCCCCTGCGAGGGGGAGGGGAGGCTGGCCCAGGCGCAGAGAGGCTGCGGGAGCTGGCGCCAGATCAGGGAGAGGCGGACAGCACGGAAAATGGCAAGGAGCTGCAGAGGCGGCCACAGCGAGACAGGCGTGGCCCCCACCCTTGGAGGTGCTCCCGCCCCACAGTGCGCCCATCTGGGCCTCCTGCCTTGACTGGGAAAGCCTCAGCTCTGCACTCCAACAGATGGGAGCCCGCTGGGGTCTGATCATGGCAAGGGCGAGCAGGAGCCAAGGCCAGGGCCAGGGTGAGCCAGGAGTCCAGGCTCCCGGTCCCTCCTCCCTCAGACCAGGAGTCCAGGCCCCAGCCCCTCCTCCCCCAGATCCAGGAGTCCAGGCCCCAGCCCCTCTTCCCTCAGACCAGGAGTCCAGACCCCAGCCCCTCCTCCCTCAGACCCAGGAGTCCAGGCCCCAGCCCTCCTCCCTCAGACCCAGGAGTCTAGGCCCCGAGCCCCTCCTCCCTCAGACCAGGAGCCCAGGCCCCCAGACCTTCCTCTCCCAGACCCAGGAGTCCAGGTCCCCGGCTCCTCCTCCCTCAGACCCAGGAGTCCAGGCCCCCAGCCCCTCCTCCCTCAGACCAGGAGTCCAGCCCCCCAGACCTCTCCTCCCTCCAACCAGGAGTCCAGGCCCATCCCCTCCTCCCTCAGACCCAGGAATCCAGGCCCCCAGTCCCTCCTCCCTCAGACCAGGAGTCCAGGCCCCCAGCCCTTCCTCCCTCTTACCCAGGAGTCCTGGCCCCCAGCCCTCCCTCCTCCCTCAGACCCAGGGGTCCAGGCCCCCAGCCCTCCCTCCTCCCTCAGACCCAGGGGTCCTGGCCCCCAGCCCTCCCTCCTCCCTCAGACCCAGGGGTCCAGGCCCCCAGCCCTCCCTCCTCCCTCAGACCCAGGGGTCCAGGCCCCCAGCCCTCCCTCCTCCCTCAGACCCAGGGGTCCAGGCCCCCAGCCCCTCCTCCCTCAGACTAGGAGTCCAGCCCCCCAGACCCCTCCTCCCTCCGACCAGGAGTCCAGGCCCATCCCCTCCTCCCTCAATCCAGGAGTCCAGGCCCCTGCCCCTCCTCCCTCAGACCCAGGGGTCCAGGTCCCCAGCCCCTCCTCCCTCAGACCCAGGGGTCCAGGACCCCAGCCTCTCTCAGGATCTGAAAGTCCGGCCCTGCCCTTAGCTTTTATGGGGCCCCAAGCATCAGCTCCCAGCCTTCACTAAGGTTTCTGGGTAGGCAGCTGATTTTCTCCCTCTCTCTCTCTCCTGACCCCCATCTCACCCCTCTCCTGGCCTCCTGCACAGGACTTGACCCCAGGCCTTTGTAGCTCCACAACTCCATCTCTCCATGTCTCTCCATCCCTGGGTCTACCCTGTCCGGCAAAGCTGAGACCACCCCTGGCACTGCAGGGGAGTATGAAAGATGGTCTCCCCGTCCCCCAAGCCTCTGTGCCTCCGCATCTGAGACGCAGTGCTGCTGCAGGGCTGGCGTGGGGCCAAGCCTCCCTCCCACCCCCTGCACCCCTTCTTGAGGCTCCCAGATCTCCAGCCTGCTGCCCCTCCCTGCACACCCCCACCCTCCGACTCAGCGTCTGGGTCTGGGGGCAGACAGCAGGCAGCTCAGGCCCTCTGCAAGGTCACGAGGAGATTAGTGCTGAGCCGCGCTGAGCCTCGGATCCCAGCTTGGCCCTGGGCCTGCAGGACCTGTCAGCAGCCCTCGAAGCACCCAGCCTCGCCCCACCCCTCCCACCAGCCTCGGACACTGCCCTCCCCATCCGCCCAGGCTCCCAAACTGGAACTTCAGGCACTCACACCATGCGCAGTTCAAGCCAGGACTAGGGCTTCTGCCTCTCGCTCTCCTGCTGTGTCCTCCAGGGACCTGGCCATGCCCAGCCTCTGTTAAGGACGCTCCATGGGCGTCCTTAACAGAGATCCCAGAGAGAGACAGAGACAGGGAGACAGAGACAGAGATAGAGGAAGGTCCCAGAGGGAGACAGTGAGAGAGACAGAGACAGAGATACAGACAGACAGAGAGAGAGAGGCAGATCCCAGAGACAGAGAGAGGAGATCTCAGAGAGGCAGAAATAGAGAATAAGATCCCAGAGAGAAAGTGAGAGAAAGAGACAGAGAGAGAAAGATCCCATATATATATATACATATATATATATACATATATATACGTATATATATATACATATATATGTGTGTGTGTGTGTGTATATATATATATATATATGGGAAGAGAGGGAGGGGGAGGTCTCAGAGAGAGACATTAAGAGAGAGAGGTATTGAGGAGATCCCAGAGAGAGAGACAGTGGGAGAAAGAGACAGAGATAGAGAGGAAAATCCCAGGATGAGACAGTGAGAGAGAGAAAAAGAATGAGAGATATATGGGGAAGGAGGAGAACAGAAGATTCGAGAGAGACAGAAAGGAAAATTCCAAAGAGAGACACAGAGAGAGAGAGAGAGAGAAGAGATCTTAGTGATAGTGAGAGAGGAGAGATTCAGAGATAGAGAGGAGATCCCAGAGAGAGTGGGAGAGAGACAGAGATAGGCAGATCCCAGAGAGAGAGATATCAGAGAGACAAAGAGGTTGAAACAGGAGAAGAGACAGGTAGGGAGAGATGTGAGCATCCCAGAGGAGACAGCTTGAGAGAGGAAGATAGAGACACAATGACAGAGGGAGACAGACCAAAAGGTGGAAAAAGACAGACAGAAAGTACTGATCCTTGAAACGCCAACTCAGAGGGAAATAAGAACCCAGAGAGACAGAAACTCAGCCAGACCTGGGGAGAGACAGCCAAGAGATGGAGACAGACATCATGCAAGACAGAGAGACAGAAAGAACCAGAGATCAGAGAGAGACAAAATCATAGAAAGACATATGCAGAGAGATCCAGAGACTGGGATCAGGATAGAGAATGACAGAGACAACATAAAGAGATCAGAGTGATAGAGAGAGAGAGAGCTATCGAGGGGGAGAAACAGCCTTGCAGAGATAGAGATACAGAGATGGAGAGATAAAGAGACAGGAGACAGAGAGATGATGAAACAAAACAATAAGACCAAGAGCCACAAACAGACCTGGAGAGACACATCAAGGGAGACAGACAGAGGAGAAAGAGATAGAGAGAGATACAGATGGAGACATAGAAAAGACAGATATGTAGGAAGATTGGACAAGGCCAGGGAGAGGGAAGAAGAGACAGAAGCAGAGTTAAAATGTCACATAGAGGCGGGGCACAGTGGCTCACGCCTGTAATTCCAATACTTTGGGAGGCTAAAGCAGGAGGATCGCTTGAGTCCAGGAGTTAGAGACCAGCCTGGGCAGCATAGTGAGACCCTATCTCTAGAAAAAAATTAAAAATTAGCACACACCTGTAGTCCCAACTACACAGGAGGCCGAGGTGGGAGGATCACTGAGCCTCAGAAGTTGAGGCTGCAATGAGCTGTGATCGCTGCACTCCAGCCTGGGCATCAGAGTGAGACACTGTTTCAAAAAACAAAAACAAAGTCACATAGACACAGAACACAGAAGGGGAGAGACCCGCAAAGATGGGCACAGAAACAGAGAAAGACAGAAACATAGGCAGAAGCCAGACAGGGACCTTCAGGGACAGAGACTCAGAGACACACAGGACCAGAGACAGGGAAGCCGATCGGAGCAGACGAGACTCACCGAGGCCTGAGAGTCACCAGAGGCAGAAAGGAGGTGAAGTCATCCAGAGGTGCCAGGAGACACAGGGAGACTCCGAGAGGCAGAGACCCCCACCCAGAGATGCAGGGGCACCGGCCAGGAGGATAGCCGGGGCACGGAGGGCCGGTGTCCCCCTGGAACCCCTTCTCGCCCGCAGTCTGGTGACTCTGACAGCTATCGTATCGCCACCTCGCAGGACAAGAAAGATGACAAGGACTCACCCAAGAAGAACAAGGGCAAGGAGCGCCGGGACCTGGATGACCTCAAGAAGGAGGTGGCTATGGTAAGCCTTGCCCTCTGCCCGCACACCCTCCCAGAGAGCCTCACCAGTTCCTGGCTGGCCTAGGCACTCATCGTCTTCCCCAAACTCCTGTTCCTCAGACAGAGCACAAGATGTCAGTGGAAGAGGTCTGCCGGAAGTACAACACAGACTGTGTGCAGGTGCGGCCAGGCTGCGGGCTGGGACCATGGGAATTAGGGAGGAGGAGCTGGGGGCTGGGACTCCTGGGTCTGAGGGAGGAGGGGCTGGGGTCTGGACCACTGGATCTGAGGGAGGAGGGGCTGGGGGCCGGGACCACTGGATCTGAGGGAGGAGGGGCTGGGGGCCGGGACCACTGGATCTGAGGGAGGAGGAGCTGGGACCTGGACTCCTGGAACTGAGGGAGGAGGGACTGGGGCCTGGACCCCTGGAACTGAGGGAGGAGGGGCTGGGGGCCTGGATTCCTGGGTCTGAGGGAAGAGGGGCTGGGGACCTGGACCCCTGGGTCTGAGGGAGGCAGGGTGGGAGTCTGGACCCCTGGGTCTGAGGGAGGAGGGGCTGGGGCCTGGACCCCTGGGTCTGAGGGAGGAGGGGCTGAGGCCTGGACCCCTGGGTCTGAGGGAGGAGGGGCTGGGGCCTGGACCTCTGGGTCTGAGGGAGGAGGGGCTGGGGCTGGTGTCTTAAGTTCTGGGGGTCTGGTGAAGGCCTGGGGTGCCAGGGTTGCCCAGGGAGGGTTCTGTGTGAGTCCTCTGTCCCTCAGGGTTTGACCCACAGCAAAGCCCAGGAGATCCTGGCCCGGGACGGGCCGAACGCACTCACGCCACCGCCTACCACCCCAGAGTGGGTCAAGTTTTGCCGGCAGCTCTTCGGGGGCTTCTCCATCCTGCTGTGGATTGGGGCCATCCTCTGCTTCCTGGCCTACGGTATCCAGGCAGGCACCGAGGATGACCCCTCTGGTGACAACGTGAGTGCCTGGACCCTGCCCTGCGCAAGGCCCTACACATTTATTTATGGATACCACCCCCCAACTTCTTCCCATCCCTCCAGGCTTTTCACAGCCCACCCTCTCCCTTTTTCCCATCTAACTCACAATCACCCAGCAGGAGAACCAAATCAAATACAAGGCAAACTGAGGCTCAGAAAAGCCAGGTAACTTGTCCAAGGCCCCGCAGCAGGATGTGTGACCCGGGGCTATGTCCCAAGGCTGTGTGACCTCAGTGGCCTTGAGAACAGACACCAGCAGGTGGTCATGGCCTGACAGATACCCAGAGTGAGTATCACATAGAGACCCAGGCACACCCCGCTGCTGATACATCAGGGCCCATCCCCATAACACAGGGACACATTCGAGATGCAGCCTCAGATCCCATGCACGTAACACAGACCCACACACCAGCCACACAGAGCTGCTCACCTGCGTAGGTGCACACACATGCATGCACGTGGAGGGTCAACACAGACACCACACCAGGATATGGATTCAAACACGGCCGCCTAATTCAGAAACACAGACACAGACTCAGACACACGTTGACGGAGAAGCTCACACACACACGCACAGCAATGCAGGCATAACCTCATGACGGAGAGACGTGAGAGTCAGGCACAGACAGTGTCCTCAGATATTCAAATCTAAACAGTCTCAGACACAAGCTCTCACAGAGAGGCAAAGCTGGAGACACAGAGACAGAGACCCACACACAGAGAACCGAAGAAGCTGCCTTGTAGAATGTAAAGTCAGGCATGCAGCCAGTCATACAGACACACGGACAGACAGCCGCATCCTAGACTCTTTAACATGTGCAGGAGAACAGACACACACACAAAATAGGTGGACAAGTCGGGCATGGTGGCTCATGCCTGTCACCCCAGCTCCTTGGGAGGCCAAGGCAGGAGGCTTACTTGAGGCCAGGAGTTCCAGAAACCTGAGTTTCCCAGACAGACCCAGTCTCTAAAAAAATACAAAAAAATACAAAAAACAGCCAGGCCTGGTGGCGCACACCTGTAGTGCTAGCTATTCTGGAGGCTGAGGTGGGAGGATTGCTTGAACCTGGGGAGGTTGAGGCTACAGTGAGCTGAGATTGCACCACTGTACTCCAGGCTGGGTAGCAGAGCGAGACCTGTCCCAAAAAAAAAAAAAAAAAGGAAAAAAAGAGGCCGAGCACGGTCGTTCACTCTTGTAATCCCAGCACTTTGGGAGGCTGAGGGGGGCAGCCGATCACCTGATGTCGGGAGTTCAAGAGAAGCCTGACCACATGGTGAAACCCTGTCTCTACTAAAAGTACAAAATAAGCGAGGTG